ATCACATAACATATCATTACCCTAACCAGGATACCGACCTAACCGGTCACTAGCATAGCATCACTCTATATATCGGGAAATCAACCTTAACCAGGTCTCTAGAATATACATTCCTAGCTACCAGGATGCAGACATATCAAGCAATAACATAACCATATCCGAATCTCATTCCAATAAAGGGCCGGCCTTGGTGCCTTAGACCCTGTCGATATAGTGAGGATAACTCACCTCGCGAATGCCGATACTCTGAACTGAAGAAGCAGGCTCTCGAATCACCAACTCACCGCAAATCCCGAACTAACCATCATCACAAAATAAACATTAGGTCAATCATACTTTCACTTATCAGGCCAAGACCAAATTCCAAATCTCATTCCAAGTCCAACATTAGCCCAATTTACCAAATTGGGCCCACTTCACCAAATGGGCCTAGATCCTATGCCCATAACATTAATTGGGCCCAAAATACTCTATTCATAATTTCCAGACTTGGCCCAAACACCAACAACCCACAAATGGCCCAAACTCAAAAGGCCCAAAATTGAAGTCCACAGGAGGAGTACGTTGGGCATACCCTCCTTGGTACGTCGGGCGTACTGCAATGATCTCCAAAAGAAAACGGGGCACTGGCCCGCTACGCGAGGCGTACTCAGAGGTTACGCGGGGCATAACTGCAGTGCTCATAAAGTCCTTTTAACCTCTTAATGGCTTAAGCTCTTAAGCCCAAACTTCAGATCCATAGGTCAAATATGATTAGAATTCATAAAGTCTCAGACTTTATCACTTGGGACATCCTTAAGCTCTTAATCTAAGGTCTTAATCCATTAAGACCTATATATCTCATACATGGAACAACCACAGCCCTTGCGACCTCATTTTTATCACTCAAGACCTCTCCAAAGGTCTGAAAGGACGGATAATCTTGACCAAATCGAAATATGCAACAAGGTGAGGACTTTTGGGACAAGAATGGTGACAAAGCTTCAAAATACATAGATCTATGCAATATGAAGGTCAAGCAAGAAACTTTATACCTCAAACAAGCTCCAAAGGGTGGTATCTCTTTAGATCTACAAGCCCCACACGTTCTTCTTCTTCTTTGACAACTCCTCTTTTCTCCTTCAAGCCTTTCTTTTGCCAAAAAGAGTTTCCTAAGGTCAAACACACCCAACAATGGAGGAATACGGGTCTTCTAGGGTTTTCTGAGGTTAAGGATGAGTATAAGGAGGCTAAGGGGTGAACCAACATGTTCCTTATATAGTGGCTGACCCTAAATTAGGGTTTGGAGTTTCTGAGAGTACGCTGGGCGTACCTCTAGTACGCTGGGCGTACTCACCCGGCCAACCCGCATCATTCACCCTATTACGCTGGGCGTACGTCTAGCTTACGCTGGGTGTACCCAACCAAACTTCACCATTAATTGCATGCATGCATGGGACCTTTTCCCCACTTGCTCCACAAAGAACTACAACAATGATCAACTTCAAAACACCGCAACTCCTCTAATCTAAACCCGCTCCCAAATAACTTTATATTCATACGAGGGTGACAAGAAGCCCAATGCTTCTAACAACATACAACAGCCCGAAGCTTTCTCGGATAGAACCCATTTCACGAAAAAGGACCAGAATTACCCTTCCTCTAAAATCTCAGGGACTCATAGTTAAACACTTAAAGAACGGGGTGTTACAATTCTCCCCCACTTAAATTAGGCTTTGTCCTCGAAGCCTGCGACAACTCTACTCCGAAACTATCCCTGCAATGCACCGCCTGGCATTCACCGAACCAGGCTAACCAAGACTCAACCATCGAAATCCGACACCCAACTTTATCTTTCTTACTGACAGGATGACACGGCTTCATCCCTAGAGAAACTCCCACGAGTTCTCCACCGCAATCTCATAACCGCACCAAACTGACTCTAGTGTCCTCGTGTTAGGAAACCCCGATACAATGCTGACACTTCCAAACACCCTTCCAGATGCATTTTCACCACATAACAAATCTATCTGGAATTCCGAAATTCCATCCATGCATTCCTGCCGAGCCTCAGCAACCATCCACCCCGGATGTGCTCCCATACCACTGCGGTAATCTCGCTGCTCAATGACCATAATTTGACCACTCCCATCATAACCCTGCACTGTTATTCCCACTTCCGTGAATTTACATTCCCTTAGCATGACCGCTATCCATGCAACACCCATGTCCTGAACCTGCTCGCAAGGAATCTCGAGTCCATGCACCATCTCCACTAATCACAATCAATACCCGGGGCCAGACCTTCTAATGCTAACACATCACAACATACCCAACCCATTTCCTCGAACCGATCCAATAATACCTGCAGAGTCTTCAGCATGACTGGGCCACCTCACCAGGTCTTCAGTCAATCTGGACCACTGTCAAAACTTTCAGCCAATCTGGGCCACCCTCCAGGGCCTTCAGTCTGGCTGGATTGTCCCTCGAGCCTTCGGCCTGACTGGTACGCCTACCGGCCTTCAGTCTATCCAGACCGCTCAACTAACATTCATCACTCCGAGTTATCTCTCCGGGATATCCTCTCATGCATACTGTTCTAGCCCTCTAGGGGTTCCGAACTCTATCTCCATCATACATACCCGATCCTAGCCTGATCCCAGGCCCTTCACAATCAATGCCATAGGTCTATATCCCGCCCCGCACGTCTGCTACTCACCCATACCAACCTGCTCTCAGCCGAAAGAAATACCACCGAATCCCAAGCAGCTAAACAGTCTCCCAAGCCTATCGATCATCCGGAGAATTTCCAATTCTCCCCCACTTAGGGCACTGACTATCAACCACCGGTCGCTATCACCGACCTCCCAAAATAACCTTGCACAAAACCCAACACTTACACGTGGACTGATTCCCACTAGCACTAGCAACCTTCGCAAAAACACATTTCCACACTGATCATCCCGCTCGAAAGGAACCCATTATTCACTTATCCACTCCTCAGACTGCAGATGCTACCCGACATTCAAACCGACGCCACATCCGCCAATAACCCTCACAATGATAACCAGCGAAAACCCAAAACACTAACCCATAACCAAACCAACCCTCAAGGAACAACAGATACCAAAACGAAAAACCCATACAACAAGACCAACAGATAATAACACTTCCACAATAATCACAAGATAACAAGATATCAAGAAAGGAACATACCGGCAGATGCATCCGGTACTGCTCTGACCTCCTCTGTTGAAAGCTGAAAAGCATGGCCCTGAGCCCTTGGGGGCTCTGCTCCACCCTGACATCCACCTGTGATCCTCAAAGTGGCCGGTGCTGGAGCCTGCACCGGTCCTGCAACAAGCTGTGGGCAATTGACCCTCAAGTGCACAACCTGATGACAATGATAACAAATTCTCAAATCCCGAACTGGCACTGACTGCCGACAATCCCTCGCATAGTGCCCCTCCTTTCCGCACTTGCAGCATGCACCACCGGACCGACAAACTACATTGTGACCCCTCCCACACTTTCCACAAACGTGGCTGCCCTGATCTCCCATCCTGGAATCAACGGTCTTAGACCGTTTCGTCGCCGGCTGCAACTGCACCGGAGCTTGCCTCAGCTCACGCAACTGCAACTCAATCTCTAACTCACGCCGCCTGGCGACCTCCTGCAACTCCAACAAGGTCTCGCACCTCTGCGCGGACACAAACTGTCTGATGTCTCTCTTTAGCATGCTCAGATATCGGGACATCTGAGCCTGCTCCGAAGTGAACTCAGGGCAAAACATCGCCCTCTCAGTAAACATCCTGGTGATTTCCGTTACCGACTCTGAATCCTGCTTCAGCTCAAGGAACTCCTGAGCCAACCTCTCCCTCTCGACCTGCGGAACATAACGAGTGCTGAACATATCTCTGAACTGATCCCATGAAACCACAGCCCTCTGCGCATTCGAATATGACCCCGTGGTCAATCTCCACCAATCCTTTGCCCCGAGCCTTAACAGGTTCAGAGCACACCTTACCCTCTGATCAGCAGGGCATGAACACGTGAAGAAACACCCCTCCACGTCTGATAACCATCTCATAGCAACGATCGGATCCTGGACTCCATCAAAGGTGGGAGGCTTCGTATTATCGAAGTTCCGATACTGAAAACCTCTACTAGCTCCTCCCGCTGCCGCTGCTACAGCCGTTGTAGCCGCCGCGGCAGCCGTCTCCGTGAGAGCCGCATAACGCTCATCAAAATACTCCACCATGGCGGTCTTGATCGACCCATTTTCCGAAATATGACCAAAATTACCCTTCCTCTAAAATCTCAGGGACTCATAGTTAAACACTTAAAGAACAGGGTGTTACAGACCGAACCAATCAAAATTGCTGACCGAACCCAATCATTTCACTATCAAACGGACCCTAACTCCTTTTAATGATAATTTCTCATAGATGGTTTAATAAATTTTACAATAAAGATCATTTTCGTAAAAAAAAAATACTTTTAAAAACAAGTTAAATTAGTTGAGTGATTCTATTTATATATATGAATATTGTTTTGAATTTACAATTTAGTTTTTTTTAATAAACTATAGATAACTATTGATAAAAATTAATTAAGAAAAAAAAAGTTTTTTAAGTTTAAAAATAAAAAATAAATAAATAAACTGTTTATTTTAACAACTTGCATACCTTAAAAACAAACAAAAAATTTTCAGGTCCAGCTCTTATTCTTAAATAGTAAATATATAAATATATAATCGATATCTTTAGATATTTTACCTCTTAAAAAATAAAACACCATTCCCTCTCACCTTTTTTGTGGGACAAAGAATTGCATTTTCTTTTTCTTTTTTTGCATTTTTTTCTCCTTTGCTGACATTAGTTCCAAGTTGATATCAATACAACTTATTCTTGTACTGAATAACAATCGGAATCTTAAAGAAAATGTCGTTTTGTTAAGCACTTGGACTGGAATCACGGTTTTTCTTGGTTTGTTCACCCAAGCTTTTCGACCATATAGAGATAAAAACAAAAGGATATATTGTATAAAGCAATTCAAACTCATAATTTACATAAACTTGATATATCATTGTTTCTTGGTTGGAACATCAAACCAATGGCAACAAAATCAAGACTCAGAGGCATAATTCTTTGAGCCAATAGACCGAAGTTCAACCACGACTTCACACATAGAAGGTCGTTTTTCAGGCATAACCGATGTGCATTTTAGAGCTATTTCAAGCATTCCCAAAGCTTCTTTTTTACACGAACACGAAATTTTCGGGTCAAGAATTTGAACTGCCCCATTACTTATGTTAACTTTCCTTCTTACCCACTTCACAACATCAAGAGACTCCTCATTTGATTCCACTTGTTCAGCTGCTCGACCTGTTACAAGTTCTAGTAAGATGACACCGAATCCGTATGTGTCCATTTGTTCGGTAGCCTTTTTATTGTACCCTAATTCTGCACTCAAATTGTATGTGATAATTAGAATCTAAACAAGAAGAAAACACAAACTATGGGATATGGTTAATGGTTTGTAGTATTGTATACCTGGTGCCATGTAGCAGGAAGATGATGAGTTTGAATCCAAGGAGGACTTGAATGTAATTTCACCAAGAATCCGATCCAATGCGAAATCCGTGAGCTTTGGCTCGAATTCAGCGTCCAAAAGAACATTTTTGGACTTAACATCTCTATGAAGCAAATGAGGAACATAGTCCTTGTGAAGATAAGCCAATCCTTGAGCAATTCCAATGGCGATTTTCAAGCGAAAACTCCATGCCAATTGGAAGTCACCTTTGCTTATCAAATCACCAAGACTCCCTTTTTCCATACATTCATAGATCAAAAATATTGAATCATCCGAATGGCAAAACCCCAAGATTCTGATTATGTTTTTGTGTCTGATTTTGGCTAACGTCTTCACTTCCGTTTTCAAAGTTTTAAAAGATTGGTTTCTGATATTGTTTATCTTCTTCACAGCTATAAGCTCGTTACTAGGTAGGTTTACAATGTAAACTCTTCCAATACCTCCAGAACTACCTCTAGAAGCCTTTTCATCCATTGCCATGATCAAATCCTGCTCTGTAACTCGAAGTGGATAAAAGAAAACGGATCTCCAAATACCCGTTTCAGATTTTTGGATTGACGATCTCCGAAGAACATAAAACCCAAATGCTAAACTCAGTATCCCAGCTAACAAAGCTAAGGAGATCAATGCGCAAGCCAATTTTGAAATCCCGGCTATTTTGTGCTGAGAATCATCTTTTGAACAAGGATTTGACAATCCGGGCCCACATAAATCGGGATTTCCTTCTACGTATAATGCGGGAAGTCCTGCGGTTAATGAGGAAGGGACTCTACCTGATAGTCTATTGAAAGATACGTTAAAAAGGGCAAGTTTCAGGTTTTGAAGCTCAAGGGGGATTTCACCTGTGAGATTATTATGGGAAAGATCAAGGTAAGTTAGCACAGGTAAATCTCCTAGCGATTCTGGGATTTCGCCAACAAAATTGTTATCTGCTAAAGACAAAGAAACTAACTTTTTACATTCTTTTAGCTCTGGGATTTCACCAGTAATGTAATTATGGGAGAAATTGATGATGCTCATTAGTGGGGAATCGCAAAAGTTGTGTGGAAGTTCACCGTATAAGCCATTAAGAGAGGCGGAGAATCTGTACAAGCTTTTAACCATGCCAAGACCATGAGGGATTTTGCCGATGAAACTGTTGTTATCTATCTGAACTTGTTCTAATTGAGAAGACATTGATATGGAATCAGGTATTTCACCAGAAAACCGGTTGTTTTCGGCTCTGATAACCTTGATTTTAGGCAATGACCACAAGTTGTTTGGGAAATCGCCATGAAAGCCATTGTTTTGAAGCTCTAACCTTTCAAGATTCATGCAATTAGCAATTGAGGTATTGGGTAATGTTCCATTGAAATAGTTTGTATGAAGGGTGAGACTTGTAAGCCCAGGGGATTCACAAATCCCGTCTGGGAAAGACCCAAAAAGATTGTTTTGTGAAACATCAAAAGAAACCAACTTTTCGAAAGAGCTTCCGATTCTTGAAGGTAAAACACCTGTAAGATTGTTCTGAGAGAGGTCAACTATTGTCAACTCCTTCATTTCAACAATAGAGTTCGGTATTTCACCATAAAAACCAGATCTTTGCAACAAAACCTGCTCAAGTTTCAAAAGCTTCCCAATATCACTCGGAATCTCACTCTCCATAAAAGGGTTTTCAGACAAATCAAGAACAATCAACTCCGTAAAGTTTCCAAGAACATTAGGGACACTACCTGACAACAAGTTATTGCCAAGATTAAGAACTTGAAGATTCAGTAACGACCCAACTCCATCTGGTATCTTCCCTTCGACATGGTTTTTGCTCAAATCAAGAAACTTGAGAGATTTAAACTGAGAAATCTGATCTGGGATTGTACCCCAGATGAGATTACTACTTAGATTAAGAGTGTTTAAAGAAGAACACTGGGAAAGATGCAGAGGAATAGGTTGGTTAAAGAAATTATCAGCTAGGTTAAGGGTAATGAGATTAGAGAGTTGACAAACCGAAGGTGAGATTTCACCGGAGAGATTGAGATTTTGAAGGGTGAGAGATGAAACGGTGGTGGTGGTGGTGGTACAGGTGACACCAGTCCAGTTACAGTGGTGAGTAGTGGTGGTGTTGGACCAAGATGAGAGGTAGTTCATGGGATCATTAATGGCGGATTTGAAAGTTAACAGAATATCTGCTTCTGAAGAAGTTGATGACGATGATGGTGAAGAAGCATTAATGGTGAAGACTAGGAGGAATATGAGTGAGAGTGAGAGTGAGAGTGTGCAGTGAGAAGCCATTGGAGAAGCAAGAAAGAGAAAGGAGAGAAGGTGTTTGATAATGGAAATAAAGTGATTCTGTGAAGTGAGAGTGACATAAGTAAATTTAGGAGTAAGCTACGGGGTTTGTCTTTTTGTATGTAGTATTATGTACCCGTGAAAAGCTATGCAGGGAGACTTTTCTTCTTCCTTTTTTTTTTTTATTCCTTTGCCTTTTCTATTAATGATATTAAAATACATATCTCGAAATACATGTAAAACTTTACCATTTTCATAGGAAAATATAAAAACACACAAGTATTTTACCATTTTCAGATAAGTTCTTTTATTTATTTGTTAGTAATTAAACGTTCTACTCGTTGTCCAGGTTACATATTTTTAAATTGTACAAATGACATGTAGAAAATTTTAATTAGTAAAACATATTAAGAAGCTTGATCCTTAAATTGGTAAAAGCTTAACGTTGGATTTTTTTTCCGTATTGCTACCAATTAATTTAATTTTAATATTTTTTTAAATCGGTTTTAATGTATAGATAGTTCTTAAGTTTACTATGTAACGATAGAATATGAAAATAAAATACATATGATGTTTTAATAATATGTTTGTAATAAATAAAAACTATTAGATTAAATTGTATGGACCATTCAAAATTTATTTTACACACATTTGTATAATATGTACTTATTCTTTAATATGATGGGGGGGGGGGGGGGGGGGGTGTTGACAGGAGTTCACTAAAGTTTGACATCATTAACCTTTTCTAATAATAAAATTAGCTATTTGTAAACTATTTAATTATATATAGAATTAATTTTAGAGCTCTTAATTTTATTTGAACTTTATAAATAATGTGTAGATGAAAAAGAAATGGGAAAAAAAATCGTGAGGGAAAATGAAATTTAATGGTATGAAAGTATTGAACTATTGACTGTACGAAGCAGTTTGCTTTAACTTTAAGTGGTTAAAAGCTGAAAAAGTCAACTGCCAACACTTATGTTTTTATGATTCACCGAATACGTCCACCACGTTTCTTTTCCATGGTAGTTGTTGTTTTTTTTTTTTTTTTTTTTTTTTTTTTTTTTTTTTTTTACTAATAAAGTATAGTTTCATTGTGAATATATTTTATTGGAAATCTTCATAAAAATCCTTAAATTTTAATCCAATTTATGATAAAATTCTAAACTAAATTTTGTTTACAAAAAAGCACTGAATACCGGTTAAAACTTCGAAAAAACCCTTTTCAGCCGATTTTGCAAATTTAACCGGTATTCTGTCTTTTTTCGTAAGTTTACTTGAAATTTTGAGACTTTTTCGGAAACTACCTTATAACCAAAATATTTGGATTTTTCTGAAAATTACCATGGAATTAATTGATATTATTATTAACAAATCATTTATAAACATAACAAATATTTTTATTATAAAAAAGAAAATACATTTGTTGCTAATTTTTAGAAATAAATTGGTAATCTAAATACTTCTCTATTTCTTATTGATGACATCAAACTCTTTATGTTATTTCTATGCATCGTTGTGGGTATAATGGTGAGATGTACTCAGTGAGTGTTCCTCTAATGTTGGTGTTCCTCTTATGTTGTTTAACCTAACTACCACCCAACATCCATACCTCACACGGTACAACCATAGGCTAACACACATGTATCAAATATGAAAAAGTGAATCGTGAATCATAGTTTATATTGAAAAAGTGTAGGGTGATTATCTATTTAAATTGTCGTTCAATGTTTATTTTTCACTATGTTTGTACTTTGATGGTTGTTACCGAATAATGTATGGATGTTAGGTGGTATTTACATTAAAGAACATAATGAAATATCTATATGTTCAAGAATCATTATGTAATGATATTTTCTAATAACATGTGATCCTATGGCGTCACATTTAATAGAAAGAAGACACTTATTGATTATGTATTAATCAATATTATCAACTCTTGTATTTAATTGAAGAAACGTGCATAATACATCTCTTTATGACACTCACAACGATACATAGGAGGAACATAAGGAGTTTAAAGTGGTCAAAAACAATAGACCTAGTCGACCATTCTATTCCTAGAAATTAGAAACAAATGTATTTCCTTTGTTTATAATAAAAAAAATATTTGTTATGTTTATAAATGATTTGTTAATAATAATATCCATTAATTCCATAAAAATTTTCAGAAAAGTCTTAATATTTTGGTTATCGGGTAATTTTCAAAAAGTCATAATATTTTGAGCAAACTAACAAAAAATGACAGAATATCGACTAAATCTACGAATCCGGCCAAAAATGGTTTTTTGAAGTTTTAGCCGGTAGTTTGTGCTTTTCTATAAAGAAAATTTAGTTTGGGACTTTTTCATAAAATCGGACTAAAATTTTAGGACTTTTCTAGAGATTTTCCTATTTTATTTAAGGGACGAGGAAAATGTATTTTTGGTCAATTTTTGGTATTTTTTTACTAACAAAGTATAGTTTCATTGCACATATATTTTATTTCATTGTACACATATAAGGGATGAGGAAAAGGTTTTTTTGGTCAAATTTTAATTTAAAATGTATTCAACGTTGGGCTATAAATTATAACTTTATAATCAATCTGAAATTTTTATTACCTAGAATATAGTTTGCCACCCATTATATTCATGTTGTTACATTCATTGATTTGTTATGTGTATGTGAAACTAGTTACCATAGTTTATAGTTTACTAAAACACTATCTATATTATTGTTAAAATATATAAGTTTCTGATTATTAATAATTTGCCCATGAAATAACCAATTTGACCATGAAATTTACCCAATTGACCATGAAATTTACCCATGTTTGATCTTAAAACATGCTATTATATCAATAGTTTACCCATGGAAACATCAATTTGCCGAAGCAATAACGAATGTGTCTTTAATGCACTCGAAATTTTAATTGTTTTTATGTTATTATATTTGTTCGGAAAAATGCATATTCTTGCGTTTGCCGTTGTTACCAAGAATCTATTTGATGTTAAGTTTAGGTTTAAATTGGAGCAACCTAATATAAAACTTAGTATAAAATTGAAGTTTTAGTATAGGTTTGGACATGCTTGTTAAAATCGTAATCCTGATCATAGGATCGTAGGAACTCACCTATGTAAGTTGATCATAATCTTACTTTGATAGTTTTTCGGTAGAATCGCTAAATTGTTTTTTAAAAATAAATCAAATATATTTTTTGGAGTGACTACGTAGAATACCCCTTTTGAATTGTTTATTGTAAAATAATATATTAAAAATATATATTTTTTTATGTTTTAAAGTATTTATTGTTAACTGGATGATTAATTGATGAATGTATATGTATTTTTTATGTTTTAAAATGTTTTTGGTGCGGTCTTACGATCTGATTCGATCTTACGAACACGATCTTGCAAAGCAAAAAACGATCTTATATAAGATATCGATTTTAACAACCTTAGGTTTGGAGATGACCTAAGATATTTTATCAAGAATTTATCAAAATTATACAAATAAATGAATCGGTACATCTTTATAAATTTATTTAAAAACTTATCATATAATATATTGGATTTATAGAAAAATAGTATCATTCCTAAGGATCTGAATAACTTTAGGTAGTGATTTAACGACAATGTCAAGCATCAATATTTAACGAGTTGTGACGAGCCATGTTGTTTGTAAAACATGACTTATGACGCCGATTTTGTATATAATCAATAATTTTATATATAATTTCTATATTATTCATTTTTATATAATATATGATTTAAGATGGTATTTTGTTAAAACACAACGTTGAGTACAAACCTTAAAGTCATAAATCAACGAGATTTTTAGAACTTTGATCGTTACTAATGCTTTGTTCCGTGACTTCTGTTTATAAATAGAATAGAACATTAATGAACCAAAACCTTTAGTAAAGATTAAAGAAAAAAACGAAGGTGTCGTACTGCCGTATATTCGTATTTGTAAAGAAAACATTAAAAATAATGGAAATTTAAACACCACATAACTCAAATTAAGTGCATATTATATTATTTAAAGCCATTCGAAAGTATAAGATTACGTATATGAAAACAAATAACGAAACAATTGTTTATCAGTTTTAATATAAGCGTGTTGTAAATTAACATAGAATCCAAGACCAATCAACAATTTGAGATTAGTGTTCAACCCTTCAAAGTTGGGTAAACTTTGGCATGTAATGTAATGACCAACATTGGTCATGCTACCCACATGCAAATGTTTCTTCAACCTTTCCAATCATTCCTTTCAAAATGTAGTTGGGGTTTGATTTTAAAATCTCATATATTTTTCTTAAAATTGATGGTATTGAATAACAAAGGAAAAATCTATCTTTCATTGAAAAGCCAAAAGCTATATATAAGTTACAAGAATCTATTATAACTCAGAACCTAAACATGGGGATAAACACAATAATATAAAGGTTGACTAGATAAATACAATCCGATACTCTCGCTCAAGATGGAGCATGTAAATTGATAATGCTGATCTTGCCAAGTAAGAACTGAAATTTATTCGCACCAAGCCATTTGGTTAACAAATCTGCAACATGCATCATGCTATCGATTTGCATCAGTAAAATTTCCTTAGAAACAACTCTTTCACGAACAAAAAAACAATCCATCTCAATATGTTTCATTTGCTCATGAAAGACGAGATTATTCGCAATATGAAGAGCTGCTTGATTGTCACAGTATAAGGCAGTAGGACCATGAGCGTGTACTTGCAGGTCGTTGAGAAGCCATCGAACCCACAAAATCTCACTGACTATAGACGACATGACACGATATTCAGCATCAGCAAAAGAACATGAAACCAATAATTGTTTTTTAGTTTTCCAAAAAATCAGAGCACCACCAAGAATTAGCAAATATCTTATTCTTGATCGCCTAGTAAATAGGAATCCTAGCCAATCGGAATCATAGAAGGCTGTTAAGACTAATTCTCGTGCCTTCGGTAGGATTATTCCTTGTCCCGGTGTCCCTTTTAAATAC